ATATTGGGGTAATTCGATGCCCTGATTACGAATATAGCATTCATTTTTGATGCTGGTGTCATTTGGCGCCAGTTGGCGCCAAAGACGATTTCGCGTTTTCTTTCGTTTTTTCGTTATAAATCGGTTTAAAATTATGATTTTCAAAATCTGAAAAAAGCCTTGAACTCAGCTCGTCGAGATCTATAAGAGTCCGTCCTAAGGTTTCTAGCGGCACTACACTGGATTGCGCCATGCACTCAATTTTCATCTCAAAAATTAGTTGCTCGCATAAGTTGCAATCCCGCTTATGCGAGCTGACCGCCACACAGAAAGAAGGGTCTCAAAACATACCCCAGGTATGTTTTGAGACTGGCGGCATTAGCGGGTTCCCCACGTACTCAATCTAATCCACTACATTGTGAGATTACATAAATGTTATTTTCCGAATTCTTAGATTTTCATTTCGTTTTAAGCGCTTAGTGGCTTTACGTGTTCCCTCTGCTCTCAATATCCCATCCTCTGTATTTCAAGTGGAACCTTTGAACAGTTCTCAGCAGGCATGGTGGGCCTATTATGTGACATTTTCCATTTTCAGAGGAGATGTTTTGCAGAAAGCTACGAAGATAGCGAGGAATTATCTTCACCAGCGTAGACCACGGTGACTCTTCTGTAGGAACTGTATGAAAACCTTGGTCGAAGATGAGCGTTCCTTCCGTAGTAAGGCCCCAAACATCACACCTCGCCCCATTTTTTTGTGACATGTTTCATGTTTAGAGCACATGTTATGTGGAGAGCTGTGAAGGCAGCGACGAATTTCCTCTACCGGCGTAGACTACGGTCACTTTTCTGTAGGAATTACATAGAAAGCTTGGTGGCAGGTGAGCCTTCCTTCCGTGGTATGACCCTAAACATCACACCTCGTCATGTCCTTGTGAAATGATCAGATTTTTTTTGGTTCATCAGATGAACATAGAAGACTAATATGTGCACCATTCGATTCCACACAAAAAATGCTGTCGAACGGTATACAACTCACTTCGTGGAGAACATCTAGTTTACCTGTCACTTAATCCATTTTGTGACATTTCCCAGTTTTCGAAGGAAAGTTCTGAGGAAATTCGAGAAGGGAGGGATGAACTCTCTTTCCTATCGTAGAGTAAGTTTACCTTTCTGTCGGAAAAAGATGGTACTCTCGGGCTTGAGCGAGTGTTTCTTCCCTGGTGTGGCCTCAAACATCGCTCTCCGTCATGCCCTGATTAAAACCCGATTTTTCGGTCTTCCAGGTGGCTCTACGAAGCTGTGGTGTACACTATTCGATTCTCCATGCAAAATGCTATCGAACATTATACATCTCAGTTCCCACTTAAAAATCCTTTCACAAGGGCATGACGAGGAGGCATGTTCACAGCCACAGCACGGCGGAAGCGCTCGTCTACAAGCAAGCGTATTATCTCATTTCTACACAGAAGTAAGCGTGCTCTACAACGATGAAGAGATTGCCCCGATACCTCCTCAGATTTCGGAAAAACCTTCGCTCAAACATTGGAAAATTTCACCAAATAGGCTAGGGCATGACAAGGACATGTTCACGGCCGCAGCACGGAGGGAGCGGTCATCTGCGAAAAATTGTCTAATCTTATTCCTACACACAAGTTAGCGTACTCTACAACTGTGAAGGAATTTCCCCGCTACCCCCTCAGATTTCGGAAAAACCTTCGCTCAAACATTGGAAAATTTCACCAAATAGGCTGACTGTCCTGCTGAAAAATGATCCATGATTTCCATTTGAACACGAGAGGAGGAGTTGTTCAGCGCAGTCATGTACATTTTGAGTCATTTAACGCGCCGCTATGGAAAGGGACCATGAAATCTGAAAAAAAAAGCAATTGATCCCTTTACAATACAATGAACCATGTTGAATACGCGGCGCGTTCTGGAGCAGCTACTGAGGCCCATCTCTCTGAAGAAAGATCATAAGCGGGATTATATGCGCACCACATTCAAGCAATTTTTTCTCGAGCCAAAGCTCAAGTGTATGGCGCAGTCTGAAGTAGTGCTTTTTAAAAGTTCAAAAGCACAATCTTATAGAACTCGACGAGCTGGGTTCAACGCTTAGATTTCAAAAATCTCAATTTTGAGCCGAGTTATAACGAATTCACGAAATTAACGAGGATTCGCTTATTCGCGTGAATTTTTGATTTCAAACGGCGAGTGCTGTACGATGTCATCGGACTGACCGAGACGAGAAGGCACCGCCAGCTACACGCCGTTTTCGATACCGGAGAAGAACTGTTCCTTGGAACATGCGACAGCAGAGGCGTTGGCGGTGTGGGTGTCCTCGTCAACACGCACTTGGCCATAAACATCGATTCGTACGACAATCTTACGACCCGAATCGGACGTTTGAGATTGAGAATATGTGGATCAACTCCTGCTTTGACAATCTTCGTCGCCTACGCACCAACATCAAGCTACGACGAGGAGGAACACGACAACTTTATATGGAATTAGAGAAGTTCTACAAGGAAGATCATACCTTCTTCAAGGTCATCGTCGGCGACTTCAACGCCAAGATTAGCCCGAGAAGAACGGCTGAAGAACTTCACATCGGTACTCACGGAATGGATTGG